GATGTTTTGGATGCATATGGAATTGGAGGTTGGTTGCTGAATTCTGTAAGAGCAGTATATAATGGAAGTAAAGCATGTCTGAGAATGGAATTCTTAGCAATGGTTAAACCTTGAGTAGGCAATAAGACAGGGATGTGTGATGTCTCTATATTTATGGATAAATCTACAAGGAATGCTTGTGATGTATTTTATATGGATAAATCTATATGTTAGAGGTGTGTTTTATATATATTTTTGTATGCAGATGATGTCATGTTGTTCATTGAATACCCAAATGTTCTGCAGTAATTGTATAATGCAGTGAGCATTATAGATCTGAAAATTAATTGATCAAAGACCATGGTAGTAATGCTTGACAGAAAAAATAGAGCAAATAGTTGCAAGACATATATAAGTGGTAAAAAACTAGAGGAAAGGGATGTATTTGCATGCCTGACAGAATGCAGATAAAGAAATGTTAAAATGTGCAAATTCTTATAGAAAGGTCCATTGCGATAAATGAACATTTGTCAATAGATATGAAGATGAATGTGTATAAGAGTGTGCTTCTGTCCACTTTGTTATACGGAGGTGAGAGTTGGGCATCTCAGGAGAAAAATAAAAGGAAGTTGAGTGCAGTGGGAATGGAGTACTTAAGAAGTACACATGGTAAAGGAAAAACAGATAAGATCAAAACTGAACGGGTGCTGAATGAATGTGGACTGAATAGAAAAGTGAGTGGTCAGTACAAAAGAAATATGTTGAGATGGTTTGATCAGAGAGAATGAATGAAGATTGAATTGCAAGACAAATATATGACAGAATAGTGCACAGGTCAAGATGAAAGAAAGGAGTGAGAAAGTCATGGATGAATGGAGTTGATGAGATATTCAAGATGACAGAGGTGAGAAGTTTAAAGAACAAAAGACAATGAATCTAAGATGTTCCTGCTACATATTAATTTACTGTTACATTTTCAGAGTAGGGTTTCCTGTCTTAGAATGTAGTCAGATTCTTAAAATATTGATTCTTAATATATTGGTAGTGTGAAGAGACCGTGAAGATCGACATATTTAAAAGATAGCTGAAGGACTTTGGGAGATTCAACTACATTTAGAAAGCACATTAACTTTGACCCAGTATAATTGCAGGGAAGGGAATCTGAAAATGTTTCATGTTGCAATAATTATAATGCAGTCCCTGCAAACCATTTAATCCAACCTATTTTTACTCAAACGGACTTTTGATATTGACTAATTTGGAGCTAAACCTGTTTAAGTGCAATCGTGAGGCATTAAATGGCATAAATAGTTCTGAGTATCTCTTTAAAAATAAATGAAAAAGAATGCCTAATAGTACATTTACAGTCAAGCTATGTTAAGATTAAACCACTCCTAATCATACATATGGCAGTAATCCAATTAGTCATTTTTCTTTTTCTTCTTGCATTCCCTCGTTTAAAATAAAGGCTTTCGGACAGAATTGTCAATCAATACTATCCCACGGGGAAGGCTTTAAATCAAATCTTTGAAATAATTTTGATAAAACACAGCCTAACCCTCATTCATCTACCCATTATGAAGCTATAAAGACACAGGCTATTGTTGCTGTCAGATAATAGTTATTAGTACATTTCAGTGAAATCACAATTTGTTCCAACAAAGAAAGTGTAATAGGTGAAAGATGTATTAGTTATTGTGCCTTCACAATTTGAGACAAACGCTGGGATGCAATGGTTGGATACTTGAAAAACTTACTGCAAAAAAGAACTAAGTCCTCTAGCATCTGAAAATTTAGCTCTACTGTGACATAATTGTTCACTTCTGTGATATAATGAACTGTGTATGAGGGAGATTTTTAAAGACATACACAGCTGTCAGTTGAGAATAACCATTTATGCATCATCAAAAACATCCAAGATGAAGGATGTATTTAGTGTCTTGCCCCCTTTCAACACCTTATGCCTAACTGAATTCACTTCTGTCTTATGATTTTGAATGCACAGTAGGCTTGCAGGATTTATTCCTTTCATGTCTGTCTGTCTGTCTTTCTATCTATTGGCAAGGAGAATGTGGATAGTCTTGGAGGCTCCACAAAATTTCTGTTAAGAGGCAAGAAGCTTTTAGTATGCTGCCACGATCGCAGGTTGTTAGCTGGGAGCTAGGTGGACACAGGCCGCCTTCTAGAACAACACAAAATAAGCAGAAGAAATATTTTTAAACATGGTTCTGTTCAGAGGCTCTTATCCTCTAGCCATTTGCTTCAAATATTCAGAGGAGAGAAGGATGCAAAACACAGTAGGTAGAAGAGAATGTGAGTACTCTGCTTTGTAATTTGATAGATACTGTATATAGTCTGCTATATACTAACCTTTATGCTCCCCCATGCCCATCTAATGATCCTAATCCTCCTTTTGAGATCCTTTTAGATCCTTGTTTATTCTTGTCTATCCTTTCTGTTTTATGTTGTTTAGCTTTTCAAAACTTTTTTTTAATAAACTCTGATGTATCTTTTATGCTTTTTAATTCACTGTACCCCACCATCCTTATGCTGGTCTATGACTGTAATAAAGATTTGATTTCATTTAATCTGAATGTGAGTACTTGTTTGTACCAAAGTGGAGGCTCCAAGTAAACCCTTCAGTTAGTGAACAAATTAAGTATTTTATAGAATTTCTTAGTTGATTAGAAAATACAGGACTAGTCAACGTGAACTCAACTTTTAAAAGTATTCCATCAAATCTAATATTCCTAAGAAATATAAATTCAAACAATAGATTAATGAATGGAACATGGAAATAAAAATTGCAGATAGAGTAAAATAGTATAGAAATTAATATACTTACAGGAGAAGCATCTGGGACTCATGTTTTACTTCGAAGATTAAATCTAGTTCCTTCAGATGCATTATTTAATCAACGTACAGAAAATAATTTTCAATAAATTGAGTATTGTAGTAAACATTAATCAAAGACAAACACTGAATGTCTGCAACTAGTGTTCACACGTGGGCAGTTTTACAGTATATAGGAATGTCCAGAATATGTCACACATCCATGCAAGGAAATTTTTTAGGGAAAAAAGGAACATTTACTTTGATTATGGTCTTCGGATAACAACATGACATCACACATTATTTTTGAAAAATAAAGGATGACTCAAGGAAAAAAATTAAGATGCCTTGGCAAGTCAGTATAATAAATTTATAAATTAAAACAATAAAAGCACCCCAAAATCTAGGGTAATTTTTCACAGTCTGTTTATTTTAACACTGCACTATGTCAAAGCATTGATGCCAGCATACATAAATTCTTCATCTTATTTCTGGTCAAAATGCTTGTCCAACTTTTTCTAAGGCTTGCATCTCACTTTCTTGCTACCCAACAGTTTCCTGTTTCTAGTATAACAGGAGATTTTGAATCTAAAGTGACATTATTGCCACAAGCTCCACCTGTAAAATTATAAATTTGTAGGCATAAATTTGATCAGTCACCCACATACTTGGTTTGCTATCTGTACACTGATATAAGTTACCCTACAAATAATAATTTTAGAAGAATTCACAGTGGGTCAGATACTGAGAGTTTTAAAGTGAAGATGAACTGCATGTATTATTAGATTCAGTTGCTGAATGGACAGTTGAGCGGCTGTCAGTGATAGAGCCTCCAACACCCCAGTCTTAACACCAAAATAGGTGCCTAAATTTCCTGGCCCTAAGTTTGAATGTATGTCTCTTCATACAAATGCACCTAAGCTCTGAAAGGCATTATGGGAATGTGTACAAAAATGGAAGCTGGGGGATGAGTAGCGCTATCTCCTCTTTCTTTGTTGTAAAGTATCCAGAGACTCAGTTGATTGGGCTGCCTATAAATATTGCCTATAAATATTGCAAATAAATCAAACATGCAAAGTATTTACTATTGGAAGCATACAGTATGGTGGTTCACTGAAGGGAGAGAGGCTTTTGCACATAGGGTTTTACATGCAAAATGTTTATGTGCAAAACTTCTAAATTATATGGAGATTTCAGTGTGTCAGCTATACACCGAAAGGATGCCTCTTGAGAAGGACAGGGGTAGAGTTGTTCAGCCCTGGCTTGCACAGAGACTTTACCTATTTCCCTAATACCAGGATCTTTGTATTTCATTTAAAATCATCTCCTCTCAGAGGAGAATTGAAGACCATCAGTTCTATTAGTTCTTCTGTTGTTATGGTATTTATTTTCAGCCACTGGTGATTTTCTTGGGAAACTACAGTGCAGTGGTTTTCCATTGTCTTCTGCATTCCTGTTTACTTTTTGTATGGATGTATTTTATCACTGCCAATATATATCCATTACAGCTGTTCTAGATTACATGCTTCCACTTGTAGTTGCTACTGGTAGAACAGCTGTTTTCTATCGGGGTTAATCTTATTACCTGTCAAGTCACTGCACTGTCTTTGGATATATTGTTGTCAATATATTTCTCACATGTTAGGGTTACTACATTCTTCTAGGACTGCTCATATTTGTTCACAGTTGTTATTTGACAACCTTATATCACAGCTATCCATTATAGCTATTCCATGCATCCACAACCTGGGATGGACCTGGTACCCACAAGGTTTCTATGAATGGGATGAAGTTATAACCAGTACGATTGAAAGAGATTTAAAAGTTTTCAATCTGTCAATTTCTTTTAATGTAGATTTCAAAATACCTGTAGTCAGTTTAAGGGTGTATTGTCCATTCACTACTCAAATATTATATCTCTTTCTAGGTTACTCTCTGTTTCTCATGTAACTTCCATGTACTATCTTCACATTATTTTAGAGATACATATTAAAAGAGCTTTGATGTAATCCATTTTATGCATTTACCTGAGACTAAGATCAGTTGAATTTAATAGGACTTGTTCTTCAATAGACATGCATAGCAGAAAAATGCAATTGTAGTTAAACAATAGAGACAGAAGATTTCCACAGATCTTCTGAACTCTAGTTTATTATCCAGACAACTGAATTCCATACTTATCTTTTCAGATTGTCATTGCCAGCATCATGTGCAGCTATAATAAGGAGGACTGGACAGAGCTTTCAAAAATGGCTGAGGTAATGACTTACTAATATGCTTTCTCTTTTCTCCCTTTTTCCTCTTTTCTTTCTTTTCCCTTTACTTTGTAATTCTGTAAAAGAAGAAATTCAAATGAAAAATGAGGGTTTAAAATGTATCTGTGATTGCTTGTTTGTTCTGTGTTTTCATTAAAATGATAGAAATGTAAATTAAATGAATCTATTCCATAGAAATGGTCCCCTGGACTTTGCATGCTACCTGAAAATTCTGTAGCCTTTGAATTTCTATGCTTTTTATTTGCATTTTAAGCAACATGCATATTATGACGGATGCCCTGATAAAATTTAATTCTACCTTTGAGAACCTAACTTGATCTTACCTTGCCTTCAGGCACTCCAGTTTGACAGCCGTGGAAGAAATTTTGAATATAAAACTCTTGAATATTTAAAGTATAAAAGGCTCGTTTAATGCTGTTCTGGTTCTAATACAGATTTACAATAAGGGAGGGGGGGAAACCACATAAAAGTCTCTGTACATAATAGCACTTTGTTGGTTTTTCTATAATTTAAATACCATCTTGCACAAGTGAAAGTAACTTGGTCAAACACTTGGAATTTGTAGCTCCTGTTTTAGAAGACAACCTTTACAAATGCAGGTTTGTATAGGTTGAAAAATGTATATTTAAGATGGCAATATTCTAGCTGATAGAAAGTATTTTTGTTTATTTAAAGTATAAAGGAGGCTGCAATAACCACATAACTAAAATCAAAAAGTACTCTTACATAGTATGTAGATTCAGTGATAACTTTTTTCCTGGGTTATAATCTACCATCTTCCTTTCATTCATTCATTTTAGAAAGGAGTAATTAAAATGTAAAAATCTGTAAGCAAAAGTTATCTTTCTTTTGTTTTCTATCCAAAAAGAGCTACACCAAATGTAAAGTTGCCAGAGATGTTATTTATACCATTATTCAACATAACATATAATTGTTGAGCAATTATGTGCCACTCTGTGACTATGGTGGGACAGATGGGAAGGAATCAAACTTGCCAATTACTGAAAAACTAATCTGTTGTGATGATGTGCATGTAGGAGAAAGCTATCCAGATAGATAGACAGACAGACAGACAGACACTGAAATACAGTATGTTTCCATGGCAGAAGTTCATGCATAACTGTGTAAAGAAAGTGTGATAATTGCAGGTGCATGTATGAACACACACTGGTATTTAGACCCATATATATTGTTGCTGCTGTACAACTCCCTCTTCTGAAACAAATGGAGAGTATTTAGTCATTGTACTTTTAGAAGTTGAAACTTGATTGTACTTTAATGTATAAATGTGCTCTGTGTACCCTGACTTCTTAATCTAACTAGTATCCTACAAGCAAGAAAACCATTACAGTTTTACAAACTGTCACTATTGCCTCCTATGTTATGGGCCTATAAAAAGAACGTTTTTTTAAAATGTTAAACATTTCACTGCCAAATATTTGTGACCTTCCTGGTATGTAAGCTCTAGAGGGTAGGTAGTCTGGTCTCCACAGGAGGCCAGCCTGTGTACACAAAAGGTCAACTTGTCATAGAAGTAGAGAAGAAAAATAACAACTGCAGATGCATAGGTTGAGACATTCAAGAGGACAGGGAGGGCTTTGGGAAAATTATGGATAGCATTTTAAATGATTGGTCTCTTTGGAATTTTTGAACCATCGCTACACAGCAGGCAAAAGGCTTTGCTGTCTCTCAGAAGTACAAATTGCAAGTCAAGTTCTATTTTTTTCAGGGTTTTTTTTTTTTAATCAAATCAGCATTCTGACTTGTTAAGTCAGAATGAACATGTAAGAGTGGGTAGAGTTCAGCCAAATTACTTTTTTTTTAATCTTGACCCTTAAACCACTTTTGGAGTGACACCATTGATTTTGGTAAGGCTAGGCCTCCTTTGACAAACCAAAGATCCACACCCTACGTTGCTGTTAGTTAAGCTAATGTCTTATTTGTTTATTATTTGGTTATTTAGTAGAATTAAAACATTTAATACATCTTTTATGTAGTCATCTTTAATTAGTATTCAAATAATATATATTATTAAAACACAGCAATAAAATCATGATAATTAAAACAGTTACTATAAAAGCTATATGGTCACTAAGAGCTGACACCAACTTGATGGCACATAATCAGTCATCAATATAAAAAGGTGAAAAGGCAGAAGAATACACACACATACACAAACACACACACATGCACACAGACACATACATTCCTGACATTTGGGCAGGGGAATGCTAGTGGATCATCTCCAAACTCCCTGTTCCTTCTCTTCATTTGGCTTGAATTCAGTAGTTCAGTCATCATCAGAAAACACACCAAATACTCAAGAAAAACATAGAGGCACTGCCTATAAGAACGATGTAATAGGTTGAAGGAATCCTCTTCTATGGAAGTTGCTGCAACTTGTGTGAGTAGTCTCATTTCAAAGAATCTTTTCTCAGTTGTGGAGTCCTTGGGGTTCTCTGAGCTTGTTTGTTTTCTTGCAAACATTTCGTTACTCGGCTAGGTACACTTCCTAGCCAGGTAACGAAACATTTGCAAGAAAACAACCAAGCTCAGAGAATCCCAAGGACTTCACAGTTCAACCCTGAGCTATATATATTCTCTTCTTTTCTCAATGCTTGTCAAGGATGCATGCACCTATGTTGATTTTAACAGTTTGGCTAGAAAGGACACAACTCTTCTGGTTGTTTAGGTATAGGAACAACATAGGCATAGGAATCTGCCTTATACCTAGTAAAATTATTTGTTCCTCTGGCATCAGTTTTCCAAGATTCATATTATTTGCTAGTTAATATTTATTTGGCTACATTTTACTGGAAAAGCCCAGGATTGAATCCGAGAGTGCTCTATTTTCCAGTTATAACCTTCACTGTAAGCACTTAATGTGCAATTTAAAGCATTTAAATAGTCAGGGCAGAGACTCCCACATAAGCTTGGTTAGGAACTTTGGAAGAGAGGTTAATTTTTAATATTTAAAACAAATATTATGTTTCTGTCCCCCAAAGTTGCTGTAAATGGAACTTCCCTCTTTATTATAAGAACATACATGGGAGAGCTGTATGGAAGTAAATGATGAAACCCTTACTGGGCCCACAGATCTGCAAATGGTGTCCCCCAACAAATTCAAACCAACGGTACTATAAATCAGGGAAAGGAAGCTCCCATTCAAATAGGGAACTTTTGGGGGTTGGAACTACTGGTGGAAGGGCAGAATAATTCCTCTTCAGGTACCATAAACACAATCCGTATTCTTTAATACACATAAGGAAGGAATTATGATGAAATAGTTACCTGCAGTAAATTAGAACTATGTCTACTATTGTTTAAATATAGTAACTTGAGGAAAAGGGTGGCTTGAGGAAATGTTTTCCAGGGATATTTCTTCTTTTTACTTAAGTACTAAAAGAAGGATTTTGAAGGATCAAATCTGGACCCATGAAATGCCTACATATAAAGTATTCAAACTCAGTGTTTCTGTTTTGCTGTGATACTGTGTGAGTTTAAAGTGGGGGTCCCAAACTCTTCAGCTCATTGACCCCTTCATGAAGTTTCAGATTGTTCATTAACCCTGAACATTTATTATATGAAAATAATTTAATAAATACTACTTTAACTAATAGTACTATGAATAATAATATTAATAATAATGGATCATCCCATCGACCCTTGGGGGTTGATACTAACCACTTTGGGGAGCCCTGGTGTAAAGGATTTTT